AAAAAAGTGTTAAAGTTAGGAGATTATTGCAGCTTTAAATACATAAAATCTGTAAGCATTGCAAGCTGACATTGTAAAGGCAAGGAGTAAATAATGATTAATACACCTTTCTAAGCATGCCTCACTGTCATAATCACAGGCTCCGTCTCAAGGACAACATAAGCCAAGGGTACTTAAAAGATGGCGATAATTTATTCGAGTTAATCCATCTTGCGCTGGTCAAATTCTTTTTCCAGGAAACAGAGAAAAATGATCTGTTGTCCATACCTTTCCTGAAATCCGCATCAAGATTATAGGAGCCATAAAATCCTCCACTTAGTGATGCCATATGCTAACTAATTACACAAAACTGAAAACTGAGGAACTTTATGTTTAAAGCTCGAAACTTGTAAACTTAAGATTATACCTTTCAAAGAGAAACCCTTCTTCTCAAATTTTCTGATACCAACCTACATATCATAAAAGAGTGATTTCAGAATTATGACATACAATCTAACACTAATATCTTTCAACTCTGTATTTTATGACCAAATTAAACAAGCAAAGCTTATAAAAAGGGAAGGAAAAAAAAAAAAAAGGTTCAAAAGTATGCTTATAAAAAAAGCAAAAATTGTTTTAAATAATACAAACTTTACCCCGTCCGCTAAAAACAAGTTGAATTTTTGTTTATTTCAGAATAATACGAACTTTAGTGGTACTCCGCTTTAAACAAGTTATTTTACCTACAACCTGAATAACCGGTTAAAATTTTCAATAAATTCGTTTACTAATCTAATTAACTCTTAATTAAAACTTTAATTATAGTTAATTAATAATTAAAATAATTAAAATCTTAAAAAAAAAAAAAAAAAAATACCCACCTCCACCACTAGCCACCCTTTCCCCTTCCCCGGCGACCTTCCCCTTCCCGGCAACCTGTCAACCCAGCCCTCGGCCCCGGGCGCGCCTAGATCTCCCCTCCCGCGGCACCGGCGCTGATCCCATCCCCGTACGTCGCCCCCTTCGTTCTCTCTTCCCCAGAAAACCACCGAAACCCTCCTTCCCCTTGTCATGCATCGCCCCTTTCCTCCTCCCTTGAACCACCAATCCCCTCCCCAAAACCCTTCTCCCTCACCCACGAAACTCCCTAAACCAACCCTCCCCCCTTGAAAAACCCTAATAGGTCCTCTCCAACCATCGGCAACGGTTTCAGTTGGGATTTTCGAGGGAGGGGAATGGATTTTAGGGGGTTTTGTGAGAGGAGGAAATAGGAATCGAGGAGGGAGTTGGTGGTTCGTGAGGAAGAGGGATCCCGCGCCGATTTTTTAGGCTAGAGAAAGGGAGGGGCTGTTTTCGGGGCTGGGGAAGGGGAGGGGGACTATTATCGGGGGCTGGGGAAGGGGAGGGACGGTTTTTCGAGGGGCTGGGGCAAGGGGATGAGCGGTTTGCGGGGTGGGGGAAGGGGAAGGGTAGCTTTTTGCGGTTGCTGGGGAAGAGGAGGGGTGGTTTCGTGGCGGGGGAAGGGGAGGAAGGGGTCTTCGATGGTTGGGCTGGGGTTAGGGGCTGCCGGAGATGGTGTGCAGGTGGAGCAATGGTGGTGTACATTGGGAGGAGAGAGAAGGAAAAAAAACCCAACAATAATTTTAAGCAATTATTTGTTTTTTAAATAATTAAAAAAAAATTAAAAACAAATAAAATTTTCAAACCAATCAAACAATGACACGTGTCCATATAACCTGTTAATCAAGTTAATAACCGGTCATAACTTGTTTAAAGCGGAGTACCACTAAAATTCGTATTATTCTGAAATAAACAAAAGTTCAACTTGTTTTTAGCGGACGGGGTAAAGTTCGTATTATTTGAAACAATTTTTCCATAAAAAAATGATTAATAACGTTTTGCAGCCCAGCAAAAAAAAATCATACCCCCAAAACTCAAAATCAAAACCATTAAGCCTAATTTTCTCCTTCATGTCCCCAACATCTGTACACTACCCATTTCACTAAATTATTACTATCAACATCAATTACTAAACCTCCCTCCAAATATTTCTACTCCTATCTAATTTAAGTCAAATCACAATATTCCACAGTATAAATTGGATGTATAAATTGGATGTTGTAACTAAACCGCGGGTTAGAAACACCCATCTCATCTGCCTTCACTCCTTCCCCCCCCCCCCCACCCCACCCCCCATCATTACAGACTGAAACTTTCTTTTCATTTACAGTCTGCTGTGAATGAATTGGTTGGAAGGAGTAAGGAAGGATATGAAATATATGGATTTGCATGAGGATGAAACATTGGATCGTAAGGGATGGAGGGGGAAGATTTATGTCGATGATTACACGGAATAATCAAATTTGGTTCATGTAGCCGACCCCACTTATGGGATTAAGGCTTTGATTGATTGATTGATTTACAGTCTGCTCCATAGCTAGAGACTCCAATTCTATACAACCTACAAATACAAGTTTACTTTATATTCATCCTACTTTCAGAAATTGAGCTGAGACAGATAATGAAACCCAACAATTAACATCAGGAGATCTTTGACTAAGCCAACTTTGCACTTCATCTAATTTCTTCTGGATGTATGGGTGCACAGAAGAATTGATTCCAGATTCAATATTTCTGCATTGTAAAATGAGATTCGCTAAAAAATTCACCCCAAATGTATCATTGCCCAAACAAGCACCAATAATTCCAGTAAGATGAACTCAAAGAGACACAAGAACATATATGTGAAAACTAATAGTTTGACAAGAAGGCTTACCCATCACAATAGCCAGCTGTATAAACAGAAGAGCAGGAAGGAGTGTCTTGGTCCAAATCCAGCAATGAACTCTTTCCAGAAGAAGTACCCTCTTCTGCATTCTCTGTCTTAATCCAGCACCCGAAGAAATCTTCCCACCACAACAAAAAAAAGAAAAAAAAAAAAAAAAAAAAAACATAAGTATCATCATATATTAATACCTGATGTCATAAGTATCATGAAAGTATTTCTCAGAGTACTGGATCTGACCCATTTTTTTTCGCTAATCACCTTCAATGGAGAACTCAAGAGTCCGAAATCCCACCCTCGAAATCAGATATTCCAGAATTGGACATTAGAAATCCTAACGTGTAATGGAAGAGAGAGATAGAGTATGATTAGAGAGAGAAAGAAAACTGAAGAAAGCAGCAAGAAGTGGGAATAAGGGCCAAAAAGCCAAATCACTGTAAAATTGCAATGTTTGGAAGGGCATAAAAGACAGGCCGCTATTCATTTTCAATAGTAACCCGCGTTACTTTTCATAAGCTACAGCAGCAATGTTCTCATATTTCTAGAAAGGATTAGAGTTAATTCGCTTTAGACTCTCCTAGTAACTTTCACTGGAATTCTAAAGTTCACATTTGAGAAAGTAAAGCTCTAATTTCAGCATTCTTACTGGAAACCTTACAAAAATTAAAATAAAATAAAAAGGTTTATAGATGTAAATGCTCAGTGGAGCAACAGCTTAAATTAATGACAAGATAGGTGTATTAATGTCTCCACATAAAATGGTCAAAGCTCTATTATTTACCTAGTGGAGCTACCAGCCATTTGCACTCCTGATCTTAAGAATTTGAACAAAGAAACAGAATATCTCAAATTAACAAAAATATACAGACCTTCAACAGCTAAAAGAACAATATGTTACAGAGGCAAACAAGTTTAACAGTACGCTGAAAAGTTTAAGTGAGCCTGAGATCAGAATACGAGCATTGTTTCTTGCCTAACAAGAAAGATCAAATGAAAAACAACTATCAATATTCATGACAAATTTTCGAGCACGACCTTGCAGTAACTATCCTTTACTTATATAGTTTATCTATTAAGAAAAGCAGAAGAAACAAAACAATGAAATACCTGCACGATTGAAACCAATGATATTCTGAGTCTAGTAACTGTTGGGGCACTTGATAGCTTGGACATAGGATTTGCCAAATGGGCAGATGGTGAAGCGGATAGAACTTGCACCACCTATCAAAGTTGCTGAGACACAATGAAGTAAGACAATAACTCGTAACATAATCAATTGATGATCAAATGCCAAATACAACTGTCAGCATTGCAAGGTAAATAGAGCATTACTTACATGACTGTCAGAAGGATTCACTGAATGACCAATCCCCTGGAAAAGTACTGCAGCTTGGAGCATATTCATGTTAGAATCACCTACCACTCATCAATAAAATTAACTACAACATTCCAGATTTGATTTAGAGAGAAAGTGAATCAAAAGGAGAGGAGCTATCAGATGATTATAAAGAAGGATAATCATCTACCTCCAAGAAGCTGTTGTAATGGAGAGAAACTCAGCGTACGCTTCAATGGAAGAGAGATAGAGTCTGATTACAGAGAGAAAGAATACTGAAGAAAGAAGCAAGAAGTGGAAGCCAAATCACTGTAAAATTGCACTGTTTGGAAGGGCACAACAGACCGCGCACTGTTTATTTTCAACAGTAACCGAAACACTGTTCCTAAGCTACGTTTATCTGTAAGCTACATTTGAGGATCGAGATGCGTCCAAATCAAAAGCTTTGCTGGTCAAGGAAAAGTCAAGCACCCAACAAACACAAACAATAGCTCATCTCAAGCCCATGCTGCTGCCTTCCTATCCTACACCCCGCCAAATCACTAACCTTCACCACACCACCTGCTGCCCCTGTCTCTTTCACCCCATCAGAAACACAAAAGCCACGCCCCTACACCCCACCATCGCAGTTCCACCACACCACCACAAAACACAACAGCCCCCACACACTGCACCTCCATCTAATCACAGCCCGCATCACCACACAACTGCACCAAGCCAACTTTCCCGCATCACTCCCTCTCATCAAACCACCAACACTCCACCGCCACCCTCGCAATACACAATACGGAAGCCCCTGCACAACTCGCTGCACCTTGCTTTGACATTGAATCACAGCAAACAAGCCTAGTAACTGTAAGTCTGTAATTGAATAACTGAAATACCAGATGAGTGAACAAATTTGAGAAAGACAATCAATCACGTAAGGCAATGACAATTCAAGAAAACCATGCATTTACAACAAGTATCAGGCTTAAGCCAGTTCATAACAAGCTAAATTCCAACCAACCAAAACTTTGACTTGAAAACAGAATGCATAACAGCAAAACACAACCAAAAAAACACCTAGGAAGACGTACAGCAAGACTTTTTTGCAGTAGTCTCAGATGGTGCCCCTACCACTATAGTTTGACCTCCTGCAAGAGCTGTAGGTGGTGGTTCATTAGACGAAAGAGACTTCTTGCTAATGATCCGGTATATCTCAGAGAGAATAGTTTGAAATGCCTTCTCAACATTTGTTGCTTCAAGGGCAGACGTTTCTATGAAAGAAAGACCCTCTTTTTCGGAGAAACTCTGAGCATCTTCCGTGGCAACAGCACGCAGATGCTTAAGATCAGTCTTGTTTCCAATAAGCAAAATCACAATATTGGCATCAGCGTGGTCCCGTAGCTCCTTCAACCACCGACTCACATTGTCAAATGTTGTAGGTTTCGTCACATCATAAACTAGGAGAGCACCAAGCGCACCCCTGTAGTATGCACTTGTAATTGCCCTATAACGCTCTTGACCTGCAGTGTCCCATATCTGAGCCTTCACAGTTCTTCCTTCAACCTAGAAAAAGATTATTAAAAAAAAAATAAAAAATAAAAAAACAGACGACATACTATCAACATCCTTTTTATACAGGCCAAATCTTATTCTTCAGGTCAAACTATATCACAATTGTACATAAGTTTATTGCAGTAAATTAATGTCACAATGGGCAGTGAATGGATATTATGGTGTCTGGAGGATACAATTTTCCTTCTTTGAGCCTTTTTTGTCTCTAAATTATTCACTGGTTCAATATATAAGCAATCCATATCATATTTGATCAAATCCTGTGAATTGCAACCGTAGCGATGGCCATATACTGCATTATATTTCATCATTTCCAGCTTCAAGAAGCACATTAATTTAAAGAACTACCTGGAAATCTAATACAATTATGCACCAACCTTTGGTTAGTTTTAATAAGCCTGGACAAGAACTGGATGTTTCATCTAACCTAAGGCTGAACTCTTAATTCAATGAAGACCTAATTTCACGACAGCAGGAGAAGCAGCAGTACAAAAGAGAAAACTAGATTGAAAGTTTATACCAAAGAATTGAAAGAGAAATTGGAGATATTGGTGGCAAAACTCTTAAATTAGCAACAAACTATCTTGGATCAACAAGAAGCTTCTTTCATTGTTACGAGTCCTAGCTTCCTTTTCCTATAATACGGCAAATGCCCAATAACAAGTAGAAAGCATACACTGGTTTTCATATATTCTACATAGTAATCATATTGTAGTTCTCAACTTAATAGCTTTCACATTTATAAAATGGAAACCATGTCAGCCAGCTTATGCAAATCATTCAATGCCCTGAAAATCCCATTTGTAGAGACATGGTGAATTGTTTATAACACTTGCTCAAGGTCTAGGCAAACATCTGCAAAATTGTAATACTAAAGACTAAAGCCAATTGAGAGTTTCATTTAAAATTCAAAAAAATTAGGTAGGCGGATATGTTATACTCCCTCCGCCCACAATTATCTGCACCAAACGTCCTTTTTGCGGACTCCTAGGCAAAACTTTTAGTGGAGTTTGATTAAGTTTGGGTGGGTTTAATTAAGTGGGAAAAAGTAGGGAAAGAAGTGGTCCCTAATTTTTTTGTTTTTGGGTGGGTTAAAGTGAGTGGGAAAAAGGTGAGAAATTGAGGGCCCCCTTTTATGAGTGGGAAAAAGGTGAAAAATTGAGTGTAATTAAAAGATGTTAAACAAAGTTAAAAAATAAAAGTAAGGGTAAGGTGGTCTTTTTACTCTTTAAAATTTACTAAAAGAGGAAAGAAAAAAATTTGTGGCACATAATAGAGAGTACCCATTTATGGCAAATGTTGCAGATAATTGTGGGCGGAGGGAGTATTAAGTTTCAATTCCTTAGACATCTCACTAGTCAAAGTTACGCATTAACTAACAAAGTAAGGTGACTAACAGATCAAAGCTCATCAAACATGATTCTTTAATTAGGTTAAACAAAATTTTCCACCAATAAATATAAGTTCGATAATGAAAACTTCCTCCCCCGCATTTGTCCTCCCTGAAGTTCATTAAAAATGTTTCTTTAATTACATCAAACAAGATTTTCTATTAATAAATAAGTCTCAGTAATGATTTAATGAAGACTTCCTCTCCTGCAATTTTCCTCCCTAAGCTTCTTCTATTCACACACAAACAGTCACAGTCACAGTCACATGCATAAAGTCCCCAAAGACAGCACAGCAACTACCTATTACAAGGACAAGGAACTTAGCAACAAATTGAAGATTGTGTCATTTTTTTTTAATCTACAAAAATAACTCATGACAAAACAGAAACATGTCAACAGGATTTTTCAAGTTAAGCTGACCTTTTAAAACCGCAAGCAAAAAAATTTAATCAACTATACATATATTTTTAAATAAACCACGCATAATTGAAAATCTCAAGCAGAAGAAGTGCCTAAACAACTTTTAAAAATTGCATCTACAGCTTGAAAAAAAAAAAAAAAAAAACCCTGATAAAGCAACAAACGATGAACATTTACAGTTAAAAGCTAAAGAAGTAAATGGGATATAATGATCTCACAACAGACACCAACATTCCATAAGAATCAAGGACTCATTGTGAGAAAAATAAAACAGGGTAGAGCTCCAATTAGCTCTATTCTGATCCTTGAGCCAATGTATTTGGGATTTTAGTATTACAGATTCTAGCTTCCTTTCACACTTTTAGTATTACTGGACAAGACATGGTGGCCTTCTTCCGTGTTTTATAACTTAGGATAGCTTATTACAGCTGATTTTCTCATATACAACAACCAACAAAATAATTTTGCTCCAACATGAATCGTCATACGGAACTATCTGATATAGAAAAAGGGACATAACAAGATAATTAGTTGAAACAGTTTGAAAAATGTGTGTAAAGTAAGAGAAAAAAAAACATCCAAGTTAAAATTAAGAGAGTTTTTAAAGAGAAACAAGAATAAAATTCAAGAAAATTTTTAAGGAGTGGTAAAAACGTGAAAAAAATATAAAGGTTTATGAAAACTTTAGTAAAGGAAAGCAATAAAGTTTTAAAGGACTGATTATGGCATACAATGGAAAAAATTTTAGCATTGATCTCGTCAAGCAATATCACCAAAGACAAGTTTAAAGGGAACCACAAAAACAAATTAAGGGAGCGGCTTCAAATATAACAAGGACATTAAACACGGATACATAAAGTCTCATTTGCTTGATGCATGATAGTATTTTGTAGTAATATGGGGCTTCTATACTTGGACAGAGGGAATAATAACAACATGCATATTCCAATAAAGATCATTGGGTGCAAATTATAATAATAGATCATGACTTATATGATCTCCATGACCATGGATAAAATATATCACTTTACATTAATAAATGACTTGTTCACATCCATAGGGGATAAAATGGAATAAATAAAATTAAGAATGTCCTGAACCACCATGTGCATGGGCATCCACCAAAGTACAGTACAACTTTTGAACAACATGAATAGAATTCCTATGAAATGCACAAAGAAGACGGACAAAGAAACACAGATTAATTCGAATAAGACATCTAATTAAAAAATAAAAAAATCACCACATAAGCTGTTTATAACCAAACCCAAAGTTTTAAAAAGCGTGTAGGGGAACACATGACACCATTATACATACCAAAAACAAAATTTTATATTGGATAAAATCATGGACTTAAATTAATTGTATAACAAGCATACATCTCATAAGATGCAATACCATTCCCAAATTAACATCTACCTACAAGAAATCAATAGAACTGTGCAAATTCGCAAGTATAAATTTACTTTTTTTAGAACGACAGAAACAACATTTTATACCAGGTTCAAAGAACACCACACTAAAGTCGAATATCATGTATTTGGAAGGCAAGATCACCAAAAAAAAAAAAAAAAAAAATTAAAATAAATAAATAAATAAATAACAGGCAATTGAAATGGTTCTCACTTCTTACATCAAAATTCAAAATTTGGTCCGATCCAGTTAAATATTTAAGGCAAAGTAAAAACGACATAAATGAAAATTCTCAGATTCCAGTTTAAATCCAATAATGGTGCAAATTAATGGTGACAAGTACCCGAATGAATCATTTTATCAGAATTCATAGAGTGGCAAATTAATGGTGCAAATTTTAAATCCAATGCATTTCAGAAATCACACCCAAAAAAACCTACCCAAATTAAAAATTCGTATTAATAATAAAAAATAAAAAAAAAATTAATGAAGTCAAAAATTTAGGCAAAAAATAACAGTACCTGAATGAAATTTTCAAGAAACAAATAAGTATAGAGTAGAAAAAGAGAGTAAAAATTAAGAATGAGGACCTGAAGAGTACGAGTAGCGAATTCGATGCCAATGGTGGATTTAGATTCCAAGCAAAACTCATTACGAGTAAATCGAGAAAGAAGATTAGATTTACCGACTCCGGAGTCGCCGATTAGCACTACTTTGAACAAGTAATCGTATTCTTCTTCCGGTTTCCTCGCCATTTTGAGTTGCTGATTCCTCCCTCTCCCCTCTTGATCAATGACGATCTCTCCTGGATTTGGAAATTAGAGAGACAACGAGGGTGAAAAAAAAAGGGGCTAAAGTATTGGCATCATTTGATATAGTGTATTTCATACAAATTACGATAGTGGAAAAACATATTTAACGCTGCGGCGCTTTTGATATACATAAATAACAAAAAATTAAAAATAAATCAAATAAGATTGATATTGAAAAAAAAATAAAAAAAAAATAAAAAAAATATTAATTATGCTATTAGGAAGCCGTTTCCTAGTAAGAAATTAAAATATTTTGAAATTTCTAAATAGAGAATATATGAATAACAAAAGAAAGCTTAGGGAATAATAGTAATAGTAATAATCAAGTATAAATCAATTATTTCTAAAACGCAAATTTTTTTTTTTAATTTTTGTTACAAAATTACTGCATATATAATATAATGAAGATTTAAATGAATAAAATACTGCATAAGGATTAGGAAATAATATATAATCCATATATATACAAAGTGTTTCGGGGTTTTTGCAGTCCCTCGGGAGATTTACAATTCCAAGGATGGATGCCAACCATCTGTACCTGCAAAACCACGGAAACTTGGTTGGGTGGAGTTGCGTGTAATACCCCGTATTTTTTATGTATTTTATAAATTATTTAATTAATTATAAAATATATTTTTAAAGTACTCAAGTATTTTAATTAAATATTTAAAGGGCTAAAGTATTTAAATTATTGAGTTTTATAAAAGTATAATTTATTTTGGGCTAAACGTTTATTAATCGTTTGAGCTCGTTTAAATAATAGTATGTAAACAATCCTTACATACTCCTTGTGGACCAACCCATTTCATTTAAGTAAGCCCAATTCTTTTATTTGAACCTTTGTAGGTCAAATTTTTCATAACTAAAGCCTATTTTTTTTTAAGCCCAACCCTAGTCTTTATTTTCCCTACTCTATAAATACCTCTCAATACCCCAAAATTTTCCCACACAAGAGATCAAAAATCAGATTTTAGGGTAAGTAATCTTTTTTTTTTTCTTTTCCCTTAATTTTCTTTTCTTTTCTTTTCCTTCTTTTCTTATTCTTTCTTTTTCTTTTTTTTTATGATGTTGTACGTGAGGGTTTTGGGAGAAACAAACCCCCACCTCACGCCACCTTGCACCACCTTGCTGCCGCCTCCAACATCCCGCCGGCGAGCCACCTCCGGCCGCCCAAAATTGCCGGCAACCACCCCACCGTGACCCACCCTTATCTCCCCTCTTGTTTTAATTATTATTCCTATAATTATATACTATGGATTTTAGATTTTAATTATTGAAACGTGATTAGTATGTTTTATAATTGTGTTTTAATGATTAAAGATTATAAATTTCATATTTTATAGTGTTTTAAATTATGATTTTTATAAAGTATTAAAAGTTAGGGTTTTAACTATTAAAGTGTTGATTTTTAGGGTTCTAATAATCAATTAAATTAAGGATTTCATTCCTACTGAATTTATAAAGATTTATTAAACATAAAAACGAATTTTAGGTAATCAAATTCCGATCTCCGTTCTTAATTATTTTTAATCCCGTTTTAATCACACTGATATTGTAACTCGTCCTATTTTTACAAAAACAATAGTGTTTTTCGTGTGTAAACAACGTTATAATCATAACTCACTACCTTTGGTAGTTAGCACCACCCTCTCGTGGCCAAAATCAGCCTTTAAATAGGATTTTCGGACAGTTTTTGATTTTTGACGAAGGTTTAATGTTTTAAAAATAATTTTCAGATTTATTTGGGTGGTTTAAATTTTAAAAAGTGTGCTGGAATTTTTATATAAACACCATGAATGAGTTTTTACTTTGTGGTTTTAATTACCCACTTAAAGAAAGAGTTTTAAAGGTTTTAAACCAAAATTTCGGCTTATTAGAGAAGGTTTAAAGTGTTTAAAAGTTGCTAGAAATTTGTGTAATCAAGGAAGTAATTGAGTTTATGTATTTGGTATTGTACGAGACTTTAGGTTGAGTAATTTCTAGCATCGTGGCTAGTTGGAAAGATGATTTAATTAAGGTACGTATAAGAATACGAGAAACTTGATTCTAGGAGCATGTTTAGGGACTTGGAAAAAAAAAACCTAGAATCATGCTGGGGAACTTGTGGATTGGTTGACATTGTTTGGTAATGAGTTGATTGATGATAAATGTGATGATTGGTTTAATTTATGTATGAGAAAATTTGCATTGATTTTCCTTATGAACATTATTTATGCAATAATTTGCAAAGTGAGCTTAGAGGCAAAAATACAAGGATATATGGAATGAATCATTTTAATTACTTATTCATTTGTATTGAAATGGAATGAGTAAAGGAAGAGTTAAAGTCTTATAAGACAAGATTGTGGATATGAGGTGCCTTATGCATTTAAGGTGTTTATACACCGAGGTAGTTAAAGGATGCAATAATACATGTTGTTTGTCACTAATAAATTAAGAATTGAAATGGAAACTTGAATGATTTGTATGATTGATGTATGATTGGTTGTGTTGATTGCATGCGAGTCATCACCTAATCTAAACTGGTAAATCACATAAAGTGCAAGAAGGATGAGCAATAAAACTCTGGATTTGTGCACATCTAGAGTAATGACAAATAGGGGTTGGGGTTCACGGGGTATTAGCCGTGTACTTTTCAGAGGTCGTCTGATCTACGAGTCTCTTGTTTTAAATTCTCTTAAAATTATAATGAGTTAGATGAGATCTCATACTAGCTATGGCCACGGAGTCGCGCCCGTCTGCCATTGGATGTTTATTAATGTCTTCCGAAAGGAGGCATAGGGTTTTCTTATTTAATGTTCCGGAATGGAGCACAGGGGGACAACCCGGTCTATTGCTTAATCCAATCAATTAATGAAGTGGTCAATGCTACTTAAATAAAAACCTTGTAATAAGTAACAATTGAATCATGTGTTCGAGTCAATGGTTATATTGAGTGTATGGAATGCTTGTTAGTATCATGCTAAGGCTCTTTACTGTGTTTCGTAGCTTGTATGTACTCAACGTTGCTGATGACGTGCTTTTGTGTGTTTCTCTTGGTCATGGCCTTCGCCTTCAATGACCCTATAATGATCCAATTCTTACACTTGTAAAATTGGGGAGCAGATTAACCACAGGTTTTTGCATAAACTGATTTGCATCAGGGTGATGGGATTTGAGTGGAGCGTTGGTTATTCACTTAGCTTATTTTATATCATAAATCGAATTTTATTTTGATTCTAATTCCATTTACTTTCTATTTTACTGGGTTTGAATAAGGGCCGTTATGGTTTCAACTTATAAGTCTAAATTTGGTTTTGATTATTAGTTTTGAAACTTACATTTTCTTTTAAAACTAAATTAGTTTTCCGCTGCTGATTTCAGAAACTAGCCATAACGTTTTAACACGTGGCGGTAGCACTCCAATAATTCTCTTACAGGTCTTACAGGTTATACAGGTCTTACAGGTCTTACAGGTTTTACAGGTTATACAGGCTTTACAGGTTATCACAGGTTTTTACAGGTTTTCTTTTAAAGAGAATTATTGGGGTGTTACATTGCGCCTCGGACGATCAAGTTAGTATGTGTACGGACGAAGTTAAAAGTGCGAAACGTAAATAGTTTCTCTTGGATTTCGAGAGAGAATATCTGCAATTAATATTGCTCAGGTTTGTGTGGATATTTCTGAATGTGCAATAAATGGGGATCTCTCCCTATTTGCAAGGTTTGAGGATCAACTCCCCTTTCATGACTTGGACTGCCACATGTCTCCAGAGGATTGGTTCTTTCAGAACCTCTCTGAGGGTGACACGTGTTAGCATGATATTGGTCCATGTGGATCGGGGTATTTTTACCCTAAACATTTGCCCCTCACAGGTGTGACGTGGCTTGCCACGTGGCACCTGTGACAGGTGTTTCGGGTTTTTTTGGATGTCCTGTGGGAGAGTTACAACACCAAGACTGACCTCTGGACGCCTGTACCTGCAAAACAACGGAGACTCCTGTGGGTGGGCGTTCCGCCTCCGACGATCAAGTTAGAACATGTACGGATGTATAAAGAGAGGAAAGTAAAGGGGATCATGTTCCTCTTAGGAGAGAAGTGATCATCCGGTTATCTGAGATAACCTTGAAATCCGAGCCTCAGCTCTCAAGCAGTGTAATTAAAGTTGGAGTTAATGCTAAGCAATTAATGTACACCTGTGTTTAATATTTTCTGAATGATGTTCCTCATGGGGAACTTCTCCCTTTTATAAGGTCTTAAAATGTGTGCCCATTACTAGGTTTTCAGAAACCTAGGACAGACTGGGCTTGCCTAGGTATTTGGGCCGTTAAAGGCCACTTTCCTTGTTGGCAATCTGTCTGCCACGTGTCGTAACCTGATTGGTCCACCTCGGACCTCTCACGAGGTGACACGTGGCGGACTTTGGTTTGTCCACGTGGATGACACGTGGCAGAATCTAATTGGTCCACATGGCAGGAAAAATTCCCTAATCATTTGCCCCTCACAAGGGTGATGTGGCTTGCCACGTGGCGCCTGTGACAGACGTCACATCCTGATTGGCCAACGGTTTTTACCTTTTGTTTTTTTATATTCCCTTGAAATTCACCCCACTATAAATAGGGGATGTCCAAATCATTTGTTTGGACATTTTCAAAAAATTCTAGAAAGAACTTTTTCCTTTTCTGAGAAAGAACGATTGCCACCTACACCAAACCGCCTGCACCTAAAGCCACTGCAGATTTTTCAAGCACCTTCATCTTCACAGACTAAAGGTAACTGTCTGTTTTTCTTTCATACTTTCTCTTTGTTTCTTTTTCTTTTTGAAAATGGTTTCCCAAAAGCACACGGCACGGCCTAGGTCAGTGATGAGCCGGTCACCGGGAACGGCTGATCTAGAACTAGGAGTAACGATTACCCCTTGCTAGATCACCCTTTGTGAACTGCCCCAAGTCCGACTGTCTATGTGTCTGTGCAGGACACCATGGCTAGAACTAAAAGAACTGCAATGGTAACAAATTCAGACGGCTCTTCCTTCTATGCGCCTGTTAGTGAATTATCTGACGTGTCGCTGGTGCCCCAAGCACTCCCAGTGATTCCATTTTAGAAGAATT